TATGTTTAACTGTCTAGAGAAGCTCATTAGGCATCGAATTTGCCAGCATTTAGTTATTAACAACTTGATTGGAGCGGAACAGCATGGCTTCCTTAGAAAGAAGTCGTCTTACGAATCTTGTGTTTCTTAGACGAAATAACCCGTCGCATCAATATCGGGATCCCAGTGAAGGTCTGCTACCTAGACTTCAGTAAAGCATTCGACTCGGTTACTTATCGTTTTTTACTATAGAAGTTGACTTGGTTTGGATTGCATCCACAACTGATGACTTCGTTGTCGGATTTCCGCTGTGGCAGAATATTCAATGTCAGAATTGGTGAAGCCAATTCTAGCATGGGCACTACCCATAGCGGAGTCCCCCAGAGTTCAGTGCTGCGGCCGTTCCTGTTTCTTATGTTTATAAACGATCTGGCTCCACTCCTCGAGAACCACTTATGTTTTTGCGGACGACGTAAAGCTTGTCAATAGGGGAGATAAGGATACATTGTCTAAAAATCTGGGCACTATGGCGAAGTGGTCTGAATCATGGGACTTGCCATTGCACGCGAGCAAATGTCAGTTGTTATCATCCAGCAACGTTGGGATTACTGTGCAAACATCCACAGGGTCCCTGACATTGATGTGTGTAGATAACTCGAGGGACTTGGGCATCGTTATGGCAGGTAGTTTCAGGTCTTCGGTGCAGTGCCATTATGCTGCTAACAGAGCACGGTAGGAACGTTTTCGCCTCAGGTGAGCGTTGTGTAATACTAAACCTGAAGTCTTTCCCGTTGTACAAGGCGGTGGGTCGGCCGCACTTCGAGTATTGTGTTCAGGCTTGGACATCTTCGAAAGGATGTCGCTTGCTTAGAGGAGGTACAAAGACTAGCCACTAGAATGATTGAAGGCCAGCGTGCGAAGTCATATGTTGACCACCTGGATTGTTTAGGCTAGTTCTCATTGGAACGACGCAGACTAAGGGAGACCTTATAGAAACCTTTAAGATTATGAAGTCTCAGTGGTATTAAGACTACCGATCTCTTTGAAGTAGCTACGTCGGACTACCTGCGGGGAAACCATCTGAAGCTTAAGACGCAAAGGTCCAGACTGGATATCCGGGGGAAATTTTTCACTCACTGCGTAGTACATAATTGGAATTTACTTCTTCCTGCACTAGTGAAGTGTAATAGAAGCCTTTAAAAGAGGCCTAGATATGAATTGGTTCACTCTGTTTCTGGATTTGCACTGAGATTAAGATGTCACGAATAGTTTCATGAAGTTATGAGACGTTCCTTTTACTCCTTTTTGTGAAGTGAAGCCTGAACGTCGAAGTGCCCGGGGGCCTTGGCTTTCTTACCCTCACACGAAACGGGACACTCGTTAGGCGAAGACAAATTCCGTCCCCGAAGGTCTAACCTGACTTGAAACCGTATGTGGTGGCAGGTTTATGGGTTGTTTCATCCCCACCATGCACATAAAGTAAGCAACTGGTAAATAACGCCTTCGAACGGTAAGCCAAACGACGTTAACTATAACAACGGCTTCGCCTTACGGTTTGTTAACGCGCTACCTTATTAACAGGTTATTACTGACTACTGTGGAGCGCGATCCCCTTGTATCATAGTCAGTTGAATGAGTATGAAAGCAACATTAAAGAATTGTGAGTTTGTGTTACCATCTGAACGAAGTTTGTGCCGATGGCGTTGGCAGACATACCAAGAAGAATCGAACCATGGTACAATGCTTACAGCGAGCTTCCTGAAGACACGATGTTGCAACTGCCGTGCACATCCGGAACGCTGTCAGTTTCACCTCCAGGGAGTATGATTATAGGAACGCAACCATCGCTACATTAACAATAACAACCATAGACACAGGATTTCCTCAGGCGATAACGAACTCGAACACTGCATTTCTTACGCCCGCAGGTGAGCTACATGTAATGATAGCATGCGTGTTTTCAGATACAAACCTTGAGGAAAAACCCTGCAGATTTGACCGCATGTCATTGGCCAACGCAGCGTTGTTACAGAGCTTTTGCCGAAGGTGCATTGGCCGAGTTTTTTTTGCAAAATCTACGAAACGCTGCGCTGTGCTGGCTGTGATGTGTAACAGCATCGTTGGCGGTTGTATTGCGCACGGAATTAAATATGTCACCTTCCATCTTCTCCAGACAACGTGGTCGCAAGCGCCAACCGTTCAACGAAGAGGGCACAGACGCTTAGTGTTTTTGTCCTCCTCTTCCGACCTAGGCCGCGCGTCACCACCTTGAGTACGCATCACGCGAACCTCTTTGGGTCCGCAGCCGGTTGTGCCCCTCCGTTTGATCCTGTTTGTTGACCACCGCGTTTCTTCCCATCTTTTTACCGTTTGCACCGGTTGTTTCAGAAATATATTTTCCATAGTCTGCGGTACTTTTCTCTGCATTGGAGTATTTCTAATAGGTCTGTTGCAATCCACGTCGTGCGTGCCTGGTACTTGGCTTTGAGAACCTTCTGAACACATGTTACATACTGTGCCGTTTGCTAGCCATCAAAAAGACGCGAACTACACTGTACCATCCCAAGGGAAGCGAACTTGTTGAGCGAACCAACGAGACCATCAAGTCTATTTTACAAAGCTTTGTCGAGCGCCATCAGTCTAATCAATGATACAAAACATTGCCGCAATGTTTGATCGTCTGTCGTGCATCGATACACTCAGCCACGAACTATTTCGCTTACCATGCTCTTGACCATAAGACCCGTTTATCTCTGAATTACATCCGCCCACTTGCCCGGTTGAAGCATACTCCGTGTCAAAATACCCCCGCGATACTCGTGAGCTCCTCCGATCAGCCTCCCATAGCGTGTATGAACACATGAACATAGCGCAGCACGGCCAGAAGGACTATTATGCTCACCAAAGTCGTGGCCCTAAATACTAAAAATGTGACTGTGTATGGCTATATCAACCAAGTCCTCTAGCTGGCATACTAGGAAAATTCTATCGGGAATGGCAAAGACCATATGAGTCGCATTTGTACGCTCATTTACGGTGTAAGTTCTCCGAAGCGTTACAGATTCATACGCCGACTTACTGACCGTCCATTACAACCAGATGAAACCAGTGACACCGTCTTCGCGTTTTACGCCTTTAGGTGGAATTGCACCATTCGTTTGCCTCCTGAGAGTCAAACACTGTGGAAGTACCTGTTGAATGGTGGTGCCGCAATCGTATCGGATGTATCGGCACTGGGGATAGTGCCTCTTTTCGATGGGTGGGGCGGTACAATACAACTGAAACCGAGATGGATCGTTTAAGTTGTCCGTCAGTGTTACTTTAAAGAGCTAGGTGAACTGAGCGCACGATCAACTGACGGATTGACAGCCAGACCCGCGAACTTGTTTAATATTCGCTCCTTTACATCAACGGGTGCTGTTACACTTGTGCATGCTAGTGGTTGTCCGATAAACGTGTTCATGCTGTGTTCCTTCCTTCTGTCCCTAACTCATCGGAGTATCACTGTGTTCGTTTTGTTATTGTTTACGTGTTCTTCGACTCGTTCGACTTGCGTATTTCGCGCGGACTTATTCCAGCTCCGACTGTCTGTCCGACCTCGAACATGCCCTACCGTATCTATCACAAGCGCCGCTCCATCACGCATTACCAAAACTTGCGTCGTAACGGCGTCGTATTTTTAGCTGATACACTGAACTATTGTAAACCAAACAATAAACCTCCCCTCAATTCCATGCCTTCTTACTTATCGGGAACTGTACCCGCCAATAGCCGGGCGGATACAGCAACTCTATTAGCGTGAGCGCACCACTCGCACTAAAATAGGCTGTAGCCTGTAAACCGGGACCGGCGTTTTACTTGACGAGACCATGCAGCTGATGCGTGGTGCGATTAGCTGTAACGTCGCACGGACTCCTGCAAAAACGAAGATTGTAAGAGAAATCCAGATTGAAACGCCACGTCTCTCCCTGACATTTACCCTCCATCACTGTTCAACGATAGAGGGGATGTAGACGTCGACATTTTTTCACTTTTTAAAACGTCTAAACATATAGGAGTGCTCCCAGCTCGTGGAGCGAATCAGCCATTATTTCGATTTGTGAGAAACACTCACGCGACTTTTAAGCTACTCCAGAGAGTCTGTTTCGTGAAGATCAGATCGGTTTTCGTGCTGTCCGCCATTGCACAGGACAATACTCCACGCTGCGTCAGCTTCTCGAACACTACCGCCTCCCTTGGAAATAGCTAACTCGTGCTCTCTGTCTCTCGAGCTGCTTCTGATTCAGTAGGTACATCTACTGTATGAATGTCAGACATGGCGCAGTCAGCGGCGTTTTTGCAATCGGTTTCTTGCATGTAGTTGTTAGTTTTCACTCTATCCCGATTAGTTTAACACACTTCTTTCTTGATACCATGTTTATTCTATTTCCATTCATTGTCGTTTCCTTACCGTTGTTTTTATTGTTATTTTGGCGACGTGAATCGTGGCAACTGAATCCACCACATTTCGGTGTTCCGATCCTAGTTGCTCAACTGAAGTGAACGGAACTATATGGAACCATGTACTAGGGACCAGTGTACTCAATAGGTTTGTCATAATCCACAAGGAATTGTGCAGTTATACGTCGGAAAAAGTTAGGACTTACGGTAGGCTCCTTAACTGTTTTGCTGTTGCCAGCACTGTACGCTAAGTCTACCCTATCCCCTCGTTTCTGTTCCTGTCTGCTATCGATGTTTTCCACCGAGTACTCAAAGGAGCTCAGATCTGCGGTGTTGAGCTTTCCCCAGATGCAACGTCGTTTACTTGGATTATGCCGATGACATCACTTTGCTGAGAGGTGTTTCATAAACAGTCTAAAACATGCTGAACCACTTAGAGGCATCCGAATATGGTGTGTATTTCGATTCATCCAAGGATTGAACTTTACCGCAGGATTAGTAACTTCCTGTGTTTGCGCTAGCCATTCCAGTTGACAGTCGGGAGCAAGTTGATAGCTTTATTTATTTCGGGTATTGCATCACGGCTGATGGAGGTATTAGTGATCCAATTTCAGAACGAATTACCAAATCTGGATTTGCACTTATTGTCCCGAGACACTTGTGACCTCGCGTTGTCACTCTCAAGCTAAAGGGCAGTGTGCGACGTCACCGCCTGTGCGATCATTCTGTTCTGTCGCGTGACCTGACCTATTCGCTCAGAACATTTGAAATGTCCATCAACTTTCGGCCACCGCAGCTTGCGAACAATTGCTCGGATGTAGTGGCAGCACTGTGTATGCAAAACGGAAGGTAGCCTCAGAGTATTTGGAGCAAACAGCCCCTACCTCCAGAGCAGCACTTACGTCGACCAATCCAAGTGCTGTTCATGTAAGCCCACCGCACATTTTATGTGCTTTTTGAATGCTTATGGAAAATGTACTGCGGTAGATATGTCTGGCGTTAATTCTATCTATTTTCTAGATATTAAACAACGTGACTCAGACTCCCGATCGTTAGGAGCTTTGGTTTATACTACTGATAACCTCATTCAGCGACGTCAGTGCTGTTCCTCCGTCTCCTTTTCAATTTTAAGGTAAAATTAACAGACCACTCAGGATGGCTTCTTTGCATTAACAAAAGGGAACTGCCCTCTTTGCTGAGCAAATTTTTTCCTTCCATTTTCGCCATTTTCTGTTGACGCATATGTCTACTCAAACTGGTGAATAACTATGGCTGATGTTGCGGTTGTTCCTTTTTCTCCAATCATTCATGTGGCTTAACTCACTGCTCTAATCATAGTTGATTACATTGCTGGTTTGCTGCTAGCAAAATTCACTTGAAGTAAAGTCAGTTGTAACGCATCATACCACTGACTATTCTTTTACTTTTCTTCTGTTAGACAAGTCGTTAGAGCGCTTCACTTCGTCGTTTCCGTTCACTTCTTTCACTTGTAGCATGCCTACCGATCATTTAGTATTGCGTTGCGCCAAGTGCCTTTTGTTCCAAGTTCATCAAACTAGAAAGGATCGAAAGTGGGTATGCAAAGTCTGCTTCACCAAACAGTCTGTTCTGAAGGTGAGCACAAAACAATTGAAATTGAACACATGCTCTTCAGTGTCCACACATCCGGGTCCCACTTCACGCACCTTACCTTTACTACTTGATCAATCATTACTAGGTTAATTCCATTCCACCTGTCGTTTTGCACTAAATCCTACCTCGAATGTGTATGTTACTACCTGACTTACATATGGATGCATTCCGAGTTTTACGGTCTACGAGTCGCTTACATCTTTCACCGGCGCACTCACTGGTCCGGCCACCGCAGCTGTTGTCATTTCAAATCACGGCTTCTATCATGGCTCCTCACCGTACGCTTCCCACAAATTCAGAAGCACGTACCGACCCTCTGTCATTTCATCAACTACCTGGTGATCGCATAGGTGAATTCAGCAGATTAGTCACTATGAAACTTTTTTTATCAGGTAGCACTTTAGCTTGCTGCTCATTTTACACCGATACGTCTGGATCCAATTACTTTTGAATGTCTGCTGTCCGACTTTTTTCTCGCCTTTGATTTCCTGTTAGCGCCGTCATTCACATTGGCGATGGAGCCCGAACAATGGCTCCATTTTCATTCAACATGTATGTTGTAGTACTGTTTCCTTAACACGGAACCTGCTAGGCTACGACCGTCTGACTGTTCAGTCCCGCACCAGCCAACCAACGGGATACAGAAAAAGGGCCAAGACTCGGTAACAGGGAGTATATTCTACACGACAGACCGCTCGTATTTATTAGGTAACGAAACGTACTATTTTTAGGAAGCCTAGCTATGCGACTGGCTCTCAGCCAATGTCAGTGATCTTGGTTCCACGGTTTTTCCATATTTGGCCGAATGCACTGCCTCCTTTGGCGCTGACTTGTATTTGCTAGCCAAAACTCTCGCCTGAACTGGCTTGTATTCGTTGGCCAAAAACTCGTGCCTGCTTTCCGAACAGTTTGACTTTGTACCGTGCTCGTGCTTTCACATGTAGCAGACAGCTCACGTACTCCACAGGAAACCCACACACGTTTGCGATCTCGTATTCGGACATTGGCTGGGCCCGCTTCTCTAGCAATGTACCTTTGGTTTCTTGAAACTGTACTTTTTTCATCAAGACCAAATGTCTAGGGACCTCAGCTGAATGACGCGATCACCGATAGTGTGATCTCACAACTTAGTAGGGGAGGCGGTGTATTTCTTTACCACCTCGCTGACCTGCATGCTATTCTCCTTAACGAGATAGGAGTTCAAGTTGTCGGTTTACTGCTGTGCTCTCTACACTTAAAGCTGGGCAACATCTGTACTGTCGTAAACCGTCATCAAACTTAGATGTTTTTGTAAGGTTACTGTTGTGTCTTCAGGGCTCGACTTAGCGGCTTCCTAGATTGTGCCACGCGATTCAAAAGACAAACCACTGGACGAGTGGTATATTGGCGAAACACAGAACAGGCCGCGTTGGGATGAAAACACACCGATACAGTTCAAATCACGGAAGTGTGCTCGTTTGATTTTATATGTCTCACAGAAACAAGGGACGTGTGAGTGGCGTGAAACAAGCGGTAGTAACAAATGTTCTGCAACATGGAAAAACACACTAGTCTGCTTGTAACTAAGACTGTTCTAATACAAGGCACACGGTTCCTTGTGGGAAATCGTGCACTTACCTTTCCGAACAAGTCAATTTGTTTCGTTTCGGTGCGCATTTGACTTTGGTCTGTGTGAAATTCTGTTTTTCCATCCAAGTTACATGTCGCTCCATGTCGCTTGTTGTAGTGAGTTTCCATTAGTGAATTCGTATGATGTATCCGTGGGCGTTTTGGAGTCACCCAATCTAGTGTGGTCCTCAGTCTTCGGCCCATGAGTGCTTCAGCGGGTGACTTACCGTCTGGTGCATTTGGATTCGGAGTAACTCGATAATTTAGCAGGAAATTTTCCAGCCTTTCATCCAGGGTCCCCTCTCCCTTCGATTTTAACAAAGCACGTTTCAGGGTATCAACAAACCTTTCTGCTTGGCCATTGGATTGGGGATGATACGGTGCAGTCCTCATATGCTGTATTCCATTTTGTGCACAAAAATCAGCGAATTGATAAGAAGTGAACTGTGATCCGTTGTCTGATACGATCGTTTCGGAACACACATGATTCAATGGCACATTAAACAAATTCAACCTTTCGATCCAATCAATCCCAAGAAGATTAATGTCAACAGGAGAAATTAGGTAGATGGTTCCACAGAGCTTCAGATCCTTAAACTTAACTTCACATGTAAACTCACCATCTAACCTCAGTGGTTCACCGGATGCATTTTGGGCGGTCAAATTTGTGTGCCTGAGTGGTGGTCTACCGAGTCTCATCCATGATGATCGAGAAATTATGGTAATGTCCGATGCCGTATCTAGTTGCAACGATATGGGAACATTATTAATTTCAACAGTGAGGTACTTTCGCTTGCCGGCAAATTCTGTGTGCCAGGTCGCGAGAACTACTTTTGTCTTTGCACCGTTAAAGGTCTTTTTGGATTTAGAGTTCGTGTGCAATTTAGGGCCAGACACAGTCCTGGAATTGTAGTTGGTGTGACAATGTGATTCTTTATGACCAAGACGTTTGCACTTCTGACAGAGATGTTTCCTATAGGAACAGAAACGTACGAAATGCCATCCACCACAGTTCCAACAGGAAGTTGGGGGTTTCTGGTTGGGGACTCTATGGCTCACATTTTTACCGCGAACAGCTGTGTGATAAATTTGCGGTTCATTCCTGAAATGAGCATTTTCAATCATTTTGGTATCGTGCTTTAGATTAATCAGTCTCTGGCATTCGGCAGCAATGTCCTGTAATGTCAAATGAGGTTCCTGTTCTAACTTATGCAGGATACGTGTGCGTACGTCAGCATCGGCGTGAGACTGAAGACTACAACAAATATGAGGCTTTTGAACTGATCAGGTGTCATCATACCCAGTTTGAAACGTTCACATTCTCTATTCACAACTGCAGCATGTGTTATATAGTCATGAATATCACTTTTGACCAACTTAAAACAATGATAACGAATACTGAACAAGGATGCTTGCTCACCGAAAATAGTCTTCAGTATTGTCACCGTCTCGTCGAAGCGAAAGTCTCTGGGGTTCTTTGGCAGCACAAAATTCGTGTACCGTTCATGTTCGACTGCACCGAGTTTGCGCAACAACAGCCGAACTTTCCATGCATCATCTTGTGCCTCCAATTCAATGCGGAAAATATCTTCATATTTCTTAAACCAGGATTCAAAAGTTACTCCGTTTGATTCATCAAAAATGAACTCCGTAATTGATGCTGTAACTGCGTCTACTGAGATCCGTGCGCCAACATCTTGGGATTCTGGTTTGATGTTCAATTTCTGTGCGAATAAGTCGAACAGCTGTTTCTGGGATATCTCGAACTGCACCTGCTGTTGATGGAGGAGCTGTTGCATCTGCTCAAAAGAAATGGCCATTGTTCAACACCTCCGTCGCCAGAAATCTGTTGTGTCTTCAGGGCTCGACTTAGCGGCTTCCTAGATTGTGCCACGCGATTCAAAAGACAAACCACTGGACGAGTGGTATATTGGCGAAACACAGAACAGGTCGCGTTGGGATGAAAACACACCGATACAGTTCAAATCACGGAAGTGTGCTCGTTTGATTTTATATGTCTCACAGAAACAAGGGACGTGTGAGTGGCGTGAAACAAGCGATAGTAACAATGTTCTGCAACATGGAAAAACACACTAGTCTGCTTGTAACTAAGACTGTTCTAATACAAGGCACACGGTTCCTTGTGGGAAATCGTGCACTTACCTTTCCGAACAAGTCAATTTGTTTCGTTTCGGTGCGCATTTGACTTTGGTCTGTGTGAAATTCTGTTTTTCCATCCAAGTTACATGTCGCTCCATGTCGCTTGTTGTAGTGAGTTTCCATTAGTGAATTCGTATGATGTATCGGTGGGCGTTTTGGAGTCATCCAATCTAGTGTGGTCCTCAGTCTTCGACCCATGAGTGCTTCAGCGGGTGACTTACCATCTGGTGCATTTGGATTCGGAGTAACTCGATAATTTAGCAGGAAATTTTCCAGCCTTTCATCCAGGGTCCCCTCTCCCTTCGATTTTAACAAAGCACGTTTCAGGGTATCAACATACCTTTCTGCTTGGCCATTGGATTGGGGATGATACGGTGCAGTCCTCATATGCTGTATTCCATTTTGTGCACAAAAATCAGCGAATTGATAAGAAGTGAACTGTGATCCGTTGTCTGATACGATCGTTTCGGAACACACATGATTCAATGGCACATTAAACAAATTCAACCTTTCGATCCAACCAATCCCAAGAAGATTAATGTCAACAGAAGAAATTAGGTAGATGGTTCCACAGAGCTTCAGATCCTTAAACTTAACTTCACATGTAAACTCACCATCTAACCTCAGTGGTTCACCGGATGCATTTTGGGCGGTCAAATTTGTGTGCCTGAGTGGTGGTCTACCGAGTCTCATCCATGATGATCGAGAAATTATGGTAATGTCCGATGCCGTATCTAGTTGCAACGATATGGGAACATTATTAATTTCAACGGTGAGGTACTTTCGCTTGCCGGCAAATTCTGTGTGACAGGTCGCGAGAACTACTTTTGTCTTTGCACCGTTAAAGGTCTTTTTGGATTTAGAGTTCGTGTGCAATTTAGGGCCAGACACAGTCCTGGAATTGTAGTTGGTGTGACAATGTGATTCTTTATGACCAAGACGTTTGCACTTCTGACAGAGATGTTTCCTATAGGAACAGAAACGTACGAAATGCCATCCACCACAGTTCCAACAGGAAGTTGGGGGTTTCTGGTTGGGGACTCTATGGCTCACATTTTTACCGCGAACAGCTGTGTGATAAATTTGCGGTTCATTCCTGAAATGAGCATTTTCAATCATTTTGGTATCGTGCTTTAGATTAATCAGTCTCTGGCATTCGGCAGCAATGTCCTGTAATGTCATATGAGGTTCCTGTTCTAACTTATGCAGGATAC